GATGAGTTTTAGAAATGTCCTCAGTTTCAGCAAAGCAGTATTGAAAGAAAGATGACGAAGATACCCAATGTTTTTCTATCAGTGCTTATGAGGTAACTAAATGCTCCAGACCTACAGCCTGCTTATATTCAGAGACAACCCAAAAGCAGCCCTTATTAAAGGGCCTATAAATGAAAAAGAAGTACCTTTCAAATAACTCTTTCAAAATGGTGTTATCTCAAAGTAAACTCCAGTTAAATATTAAGACGCTAGAACTTGGAGAGCTTTAGTGGAGAGAAGTCATAAAAGCCAAAGTCTTTAAGTACAGCTTGTAGAAAACTTGTTAGAGAGCTATTTTGCTTCAATATAAGGCTTGTGCTGCAGAGGACTGTTTACTTGAAAGATGCCAGCAGCAGAACATCGTAATTGAGTTACTGAAGTATCCAGAGAATGTGTTTTTATTTGTAATCCACTAATATTGCAAGGCTCAAGAGAACTTATTACTAACCTTAAAACAAGAGAGTTAAAATGGGTTATTAGATCTGAGACACGTTTCCCACAGGAATTTAATAATAGAAGATGGCATGGTACGGTTTTGTCTGTTTTTGTTGTTAAATGCAAATGTAAAAATGGTAAGAATGTAAGAAATCAGGAAGTATGCCCACTTCTGGTCTGATACTTCCCACTGCAGTTCATCTGTTTTATCCCAGTCTTAAAACCAAGCACCTCAAACTACAGCAAACCGGATTGTCCTACCAGTTAAGAAGCAAACTTCATATACCTCTCCCTTGGTGGCTCTTGCAGTTGCTGCAATAGCTTCAAGACAAAGGGTAGTGACTTCTGAAATCTTAATCTGTATCCCTGAGTCTAGAGAAATAGGCATTGTTTTCCATTTTGCAGCACTTCAGTGCTTCAGCTCATCACTTTTACCTTTGAATTCAATGCTCATGAAGTGATGAGAAACTAGTCAGAAGCTTTTCTTTGAAAAATCAACTAAGTAGTGACACTTTTAATGTCTGTCTGATTTACTATTATCTAATAGACATCCCTGTAGGGAATAAGGTAGGATGGCAGTGGAAACTTATTTACTGGAGTAAATTAACTCTTAAAACTGAAGAGCACTGCTTAAATTGTCAAAAGAGCTATACTATGTACTTTGCCTGGCAGAGAATAGAAGATGGTAGCTTGTTCTGTCTTTGGACAGGGAGAGCAATTGGAAAGTCTGGTGGTTCTTGCAGGTGTTGGATGAGAAAGCAGACTCTGGAGAGTGAGGACATAGACCTCTCTTGAGATACTAGAAGTACAAGAGTGCATTTGCTGTGTTGTGTATCTTAGCTCCTTAGGGTAATGCTTTCCAGCTTTGTCGCTAGAAGTCTGACCTTGTGTCTTGCTGAAATTGCTTTCTTTGTGTTTAATTGCTGAAATCTGAAAGAAAACCTGAGGGAAAGGAACTAGTGACATCGGTTTGGATCTGAGGGAAGTGGTGTGCTGGTGTAGAGAAAGTGGTAAAAGTGATTTCCAGGCTGTAGTCTCTTCCTCCAGCCTGCAAAGGCTAATGCAGGGGCTGATTTATGCTTCGTAGAAACTCTTCTGCAGCTTCAGGCAAACCCTGGAGTCTTGTAATGTTCATCTCTAATGTATTTGGAGACTTATATTCCTGCCCAGGATTCCCCAAGCTAAACAATTGCATTGATTACTGCGGTGTTTTATACCTGCCCTGTGGTTGAGCTTTTTTTTTGTTGTTTAAGAGTGGAGGTGAGATGGGGAGAGAAAATACAGGTTGTGTGTGCGCATCAGGCTATGGGTATGTACCTTGCTGCTGGACAGAAGGGGACTCTTGCTGTCAGTTCTGCACAACTCAAACCCGTTGTTCCTGTCTTCAACAAACCATGTTGAAGGAGCTGAGATCGTGGGTATTAATATCCCATAAGCTGTATGGAAGGAGAGGTGCGTGGAGCCTGCTGATATGTTTACCTTGTGGACCGCTACTGAGGATGCACTTAAGCACAGTCTGTCTAGCCTTGTCGTTACCCAGCGTCCCATACGCATAAGCTACACTTGCTTGTGCTAAAATGATTGAGGAAATATGGGGAGAAGATGGCTGATGCATAAGGAGGGAAAGATATTAATTGTCCTCTCTCCCAAATATGTCTCCTTTGTTTTGCTTAGTTAAAAAGTTAGATGGTGCTTTCTCTAGATTCTCAGAGATAGATAATGTAGCTCCCAATTTACCCTTCTTCCTACCTTTACTTCTGCTAATGTCTTGACCTTTAAGCTAGTCCCATAGCTCTCTGCGTGTGTCTGGACTTGTGTAAACACCCCCATCACCTTTTACCTCATGGGCATGTTAAATACGGTTCCTGATGTTAATGTGCATAGCCCCTTCCGTGGGGGTTGTAGCAACTCTTCAAAAGGCTCCAACAAGACTGTTTTGAAGTCTGAATCCTGTTGGTGCTGTGGGACAGTATTACGTAGGGAAAAGACAAATTACCAGGGCTGGACTTCAGCCAGGACAGAGTAGGGTGAACGCCTGACTTTTTTTTCCCAAACGTGCCATTGCATCTTTAATTACAAGGTTAAGACCTCTGTTTTATGACTCATCTGAAAAAACAGCACCTCCAACATAATTGCCTGAGCATGTTGCCTGGGGGAATATCGCTCATTAGTGACTCAGAGGGATGAGTGCTACCTAATGAAATGGCACTACCTGTTGTAATACCCCAGCCTTGCCCTTTTCATGCCTTGTCCAAGCAGTGACCGAAGCGGAATCTCCTGTAAAGGTGCGATGTCAACCCAGGCAATGCTGCAGTTAGAATGTATTCGTAATGAAGAAAGCAACCAACTCTGAATTCCTGTTCATTAGGCATTATCAACCCATAGAAATAGGTGTGTTCAGTTAAAGAAAAAGTAAACAGTGTCTCATTTTGCCTAGTGAAGGATGAACATGTTGCTTCAGGCTCCCTTAGAAGCCATAATGGAAATGAGAAATTGATATACCATCCTGGTGGGAATGTCAGTTCCTTGGGTAATCCGACTGCCTAGGCGTATTTTGTTTGTTTCTCTGAAATACGTAAATGCAATCATTACACAATAAGAGCCTCTTTAAAAAACTTTCCTTTGATCATTAGCATGCTAATCAGTCTGGATGGATCTTCTCCTTCCCTTCCAGGTGGAGGGAAACAATTGACTTGTGTAATGGGTGCCCCTTGGCCACAGTGCAGTGCATTTGTTCCTCCAACCCATTGTTTTGGGATGAACTTGGAACATTGTGTTTCTCTCTTGGACCAGACACTTGAATTGCCCTCGGGTTTGTGTGGTTTTTTTAAAATAGTCATCAGGGTGTCCCTCCAGGAACCTGTGCAGCTAAATGCTATCTGCAGTGAAAGGTCTCATCCACCCTGGGTTGTGACAAGTGTTAAGGCTGGAAGGTGCTGCCATCAGTGGTGTGACTCGTATCCGTCTGGGACACAAAGGCTCCTGATGGACCAGGATGAATTATGATGCTTGAAAACGTGGCACACTGTAAAGTGTGGGGGGAAGTACATAACCAGTAAGCCAAAAGTTATGGGGTAGAGAAAGTGTCTTTGGGAAACTGTCTCATACCTCAAACGAAAAGCAGGAAGCCTAATCTGTAGAACAATAAAGCAGGCAAAACCTCTTTCCTTGTTGGCCCAAATTCATCTCAGGCTTGCGTAGGTAATGTTTGATTAGCCTAATGAAGTGGGGAAAGACAGAACAAATCTATTCCTCTTTCTGATTGCATTTTGGCTAGGAAGAAGCACATAAAGAGGCAGCATCTAGTAGCAGATTTCGAAGGGACTGCTTTGGTGACTCCTCCTCAAGGCTTGAAATAAAGCGCTCTGTTAGCTCACTGTAAAATAGGACATGCACCTGTACAGAAAAGCTGGTACTTCTAGCCCACGCAGTCTGAACTGTCAAATACTGTTCGTATTGAAAACAGCCAGGCTGGGCTTGGGTACCAGACTTTGATTACACCTGAAAGCAGGTGCTCCTATGCTGTTTGAACATCTTTTTGCATGGTAAATACCCAATTTGCCAGCAGAATTAATTGCAGAACTGACTCACTAACAAATAATGTTCCATAATGAATCATGGTGATTTGGTGCTGGTGCTGCTGTGTTTGTGGGTTCACTTTGGTCAATGTAATTTCCCATTTGTGGCTTCCAGTGAGACCCCCTTGGTGCAGATGGTGATTGTTGCAGGACCCCTGCTCAGAAAGCAGGCCAAGGAAGGCTACAGTCTTCTGTCATGGCCTCAAGTTGTGCGAGGGGAGATTCAGATTAGATACTAGGAATTCTTTTTTCACTGAAAGAGTTATTAAGCATTGGAATGGGCCGCCCAGGGAAGCGGTTGAGGCACCATCCCTGGAGGAAACATGGTTTAGTGATGGTTTTTTATCAGTTAGGTCGATGGTTGGACTAAATGATCTTAAAGGTCCCTTACAACCTAGACAATTCTATGATTATGTGGTGCTTATCTTTAATTGCCAAGCCCTGTTTTGGGATATCCTAATGATTAGGAGCAGCAAAATAGGACGTGGAATCCCATTCTCATCTGAACCACATTGTTTTCCTCTAAAATAAACTGGTTCTTTTTACCTAAGCATGAGATACAACCTAGACTTCGTTATGATTTGTATTTTTTATAAAAGCCTCACAGATGCTTAGTGCTTATTATTTTTAGATGTACTTGTTCAGGTTTGATAGGTTATTGAGATGATCCGGCTTGTCCTGATCTTTAGTCTTGCTGTGTTGTGGTCCCAGCCCGGGATGTCTGAGGCTGTTAAACTTTTTTCAAGCAGTGACTGTATAGGATATTCCGGTAGATGCTAAAGTAAATAAATAAAAGGTTAAAATTGCCACATCCAGGAAAATCTGATGCCTGCAGTATTTTGGGGCTGGACTTTTGCTGTAATCCCGGTTTACAGTGAGTTTAGCAGTAAGGCAAAGACATTCAGCATCTTGATGTTTCTTAAGCTTCTTTTTTTCTTGTCTTTCTAGAGTCTCCACCAGCAGCGATGTCAAGAAATGGATACTTCTTTGAAGAGAGTGGCAAGTATTATTTAACATTTTTGTGCATCGTATCGCCATATTGGAGGGAGGGCTGCGAGACAGGGTTAGCTGAGAACCTGAAACAGGTGATATAAAATCCATTTAGCTTGAGCAGCATGCAAAGGCAGTCTTACATGATAGTTGTGTAATCTTGCACTAGAAGCAAACTCTGCGTTTTTAAATCCTGTAGATGTTCTAGATATTCAAAGCAGTAAGCAATCATCTTTGCATTGTCATCAGTGACTATTATGGGTGGCTCCTTGTTTTTCAGGTTCTTTCGTGGTGTTTTTCTGTAGTACAGACTGGCAGGTGTATTCGCTTGTCTGTTTCTGGAGTGCAGATCATGTGTGGGTGTCAGATCCCTTTGGAGACATCCTCCCAACAGCATCAGGCAAATGTTGGATGGCTCTGGTAAATGCATCTTTTAGTCCAAAGTGCTCTCTGAGATTTTTCTTTGAAGCAAGATTAAGTTGTGGCATTTGAAAACTTATATCATCTGCCTCAAAGGTGGCAGAGCTCTTGGAGATACTGTACTCATAAAGGGCTAAAGTATCATATAGCCAAACTTGAAGTGCAGTGAGGTCCCGGCTTCTCTACTGGTTTTGGAGAAATAGCATGTGTGTGGGTTCTAAGGGAGAGATAATGTTGAGAGCTCAACTTAAGAGCAGATGTTTCAGGTTGTAGTCTCTAAGGGCCTGGGGCTTCTTGCCCTGGAGAAGGTGCAGTGCTTGCAGGATTCAGGACTTGCAAGTAGAAGACTAAAATGCTCAAGTTATTTAGGCCTGTAGATGCTTGTAGCTGTCACGGGGATCATCTTTCTTTTTCCAGGGGCCCAAATCTTAGGTTAACATCTGGGAATGGGAAGCTGAATGTCTGCCAGATGTCAGCTGCAGTAGATCTAGCATTGCTATTGACAGCACTTCCTTTGGCACTGGCTCGCTTGCCTTCTCTGGAAGTGTTGTATGCAGCCAATTTCTAGGAGTAAAAAGATGAAACTGGAAGCAAGTGCTCTCATCTCTAGTAAGAGGTCTTTTTCTGAAGGCTGGATTTTGTTGCAGAAGGGCAGGCATTATGCCTGACCTCAGGGTGGTTTTATTTCTTTGGTATTTGCAGGTTTTCCAAGGGCACATGGGTCATGAGGTCTGGGTAGCTCTGTTCCTCTCTTCCCTGGCTTGCTTGGGATGTGGTTGGTGCTTTCTTGAGGACTAGGAATGTAAGAGGGTGATCCTGGTTGGGACCTGGAGAAGGTGACTAAGCCTCCAGCTTCTGGCTGAGAGCAGTGCTAAGGGCTTGGTGATAAATGCTGCTGTAGAATTTGGAGGAAGGACAAAGGTGGCTATCTTCTGGTGCCACCTGCTTCATCCCAAGCCCTCCTGCCACAGGGAACACAAGCACAGCTCTCTGTCCTAGCATCTTACGTGGAAAGGTTTTACATGTACCCTGCCAGGACTCAATGTCTTGTCTTCCTCAAACTGTCCAAGCAAAGCAACCAGAAAAAATGGGGATGATTTTAGAGCACGTTTGTAGTTGTGGAATTCCTTGTGCAAAGCTCTCCTATGACACATGCTTTTTTGTCAACTTGGTGCCATGGTAGTGAGCATTTATTTCTGCCCTATTTCTGTTATTACTGAGTTTCCTCCTTTGTCTTAAGGAGATGGTACCTTAGAACTACCATTAAGGACTAAATGAAACTGTGTATGTTTCTTTCCTGTTATGCTTCTGCATGGTTTGGGGGAAGGAGGGAAGGTGGCTTGCAAGTTCCCCTTCAGCCTGCATGCAGTATTGAAGGCTGTATTAATTGTGACTGAAAATACAGTTGATTTCTTGGCTACTTCAGGCTCAAATCTGCTGTCATTCTTGTTCCTCATTACAAACTGACCTTTTTTAAAAGTTCAGTTGCTGTTGAGTGATGAGTCACCTTCTACTGCCTGATTTAACTGAGAGCTTGTGTGCTTCTGCACAGAATACATGGGCAGCACATCTCAGGGCTTGCCAGTGTGAATATTTGCATCCTTCTGTGAAGCAGTGCTTTTGGCTCTCTGTAGAGAAGTTTCACACGCTCAGATGCTTGAAGACTTACCCAAAAACTTAATCAGGGCTAGAGGAAATGGTAGAGAAAGAAGTTACCTTTTCACATAGTTTCAAAACTGCCTGTTTTGAAATGGAGCTGCGTAATCATTAAGCTGTTTCTTGGCACCACTTGTTCAGATCTGTCAGTTCGTTATGGAGACCAAGAGATGCTCTTGGCCCACCTTTAAAATAAAAAAACCTAATCCCCTAAACTGTGTGTTGGGCAAAGGAAAAAATAAACCTCTTCCTTTGATTCCCTTAACACTTACATTTTTCCCTTTTCTCAGTTGAGAAACATCTCTTGATACTATTGCTTTTTGTACAGTTGAGCTTTTTCTTATCTCCTCCTGAGATCTTGCATATACATATGGTTTTCTGTATCCTTAGTAATTAGGATGTTTTTGTTTCTGACCATATCTGAGGCTCTGTTCAGAGACTGTGTCTGTCTCTGCCAGCTAACTTTTTTTCTTACCCTTGTTGTGTTCTCAATAGCAGCTGCAGCAAGGCTAAAACTGAAAAGATGAGACTTCAGTTTTAGTTTAAATCATTGTTGTGAGGGTAATCCTGGCTGCAGCACGAAAGCAGTGCTTTTTAAGAAACTCCTGGATATTTACTGTTCATAATAACTTACTGAAGTATTTAATAATTTGTTGTTATGTTAATTGCTGAGGAAAGCTCAGGAAGGACTTTCTGGTGAATTAATGTTAATATATGAATATTCTGGAAGCTCAGAGGATTGTTACAGTCCCAACCAAGTACCAACATGCTTGATAACTACTTTAATGGCTAAAAATCTGGAAAGTTAATCAAAAGAGCTCATGTCTTTAGCTACAAGTTCTATTTTCCAGCATACTGTTTTTTCCATATTGCTGGAAAAACTTGACTGAAAACCACTTTTGTAGCCTTTAGTGCATTGCAGAAGGTAAATGCATGCACTATAGCTGGAGGGGTGGTGGTGGGGAATTTGTTTAGTAACTTGCTCTGTAGAGGCAATATTAAGAGGAAAAATAAGGAAATAAATTTGACCAGTTAGAAGTTTCTGATGGTGTGGTGGCAGCAGGAATGATGGCAGCTGTTGGTCATATTCTGTTTTCAATCCATATATATTGTCCTAATATCGTAACATCTGACATCTTGCTGTTTTTACTCATTCTTTTGAGTCTGTGGAACAAGCCTCTTGCAGAAGCAAATGAACAAGATCTGGCACAGCCCCGAAATATTTGCTGTCCCCCTACCCACCCCACGAGCAGACTGTGTGTTTGTCACTTGAATCTACAGCAACGTTGTTTTGTCAAATGAGTTTTCTTTCTGGCAAATTTAAGTAACTAATGAGATGATTGTGTAGAACCAATCCAAACCTGAAGATAATTGGAGTCCTGATGAAATGCAGCTCGGCAATCAATGTTCAGAATAACTACTCATCATTGCCTCTTGGCTGACAGCCTCCTGCACCCTCTGTGGTGGGGGAGTATCCAGTGCCTGCTACAAGTAGATTAAGTTCTAAAGGCATTGGTGTTAGCTGTAAGTGATTAAATTCTGCCAATGATGAGCTTTTTTATTGACCCAAGAAGTTTCCCTGATAAGACACCAAACTGGAGGACTTCTAGTTCCTCTTGCAAAATCCAAAGGAAGGAGTCTCAGTATAGTGCTGGGGATATTTGAATTGTTGTATTGTTTTAAAGCTGGTTCAACAGATATTGCAGCATAAATTTTTGTCTTCCAGAGCAAATCCCTCACTGCTTGGTCTCCTCTGACTTATTAATTGGTTTTGCTGGCACAATAAATTGCAGTTGTGTTGAAGGGCCCCAAGGCCCCAGCCTGGCTTGGGATGTTTGGATATATTTTATCTGCTTGTTTTTGGTTTTCAGTTTGCAGTTCAGTTTGGTATGTGTGCTGTGGGTTTTTTTTTTTTCTTTTTTAAATTTGTCTTTATCTGTCTTAGAATTGTTTGCCTAACTAGGAGATCAATCTAAATGTCTTTGTGAAACAAATCCTTTCGCAATGGGTTTCCCCTGATGAGATGCCCAGTTTACCAGCAGGAGATGCACTGCTGCTACCTATGTAGGGCCCAAGGGGGTGGCTTGCAGGTCTCTTGCAGATTTTTGTTTCTGAGAAGTGTGTATCAGGAGGCCTATAATGAAATGAACGCTCCTGATTTCTGTGGGTTCTGGTACAGAACTGAAATTCCACGTGCTGCTGTGTTTTGTAAAAACAAAACAAAAACAAAGCCCCACTGAATTACTTGGATTATTCACAACATTTCCTAGAAATCTGGCTGCAAAATACAATACTGGAATTAATTCAAAAGTGCCTGGGTGGTTTTTTTTGTAGCAGATCAGTTTTTTCAGTTCTGTTATGAATTATTGCTGAAGTGGCAGGGGAAACTTTGTTTCCATCTGGCTCTTCATGACAAAAGACTGACTCGAAGTACGGTTGAAAACATGTGACTAAAGTTATGACTGGCCATTAGTGGAGGGGTCTGTTACTTAAAGGATGCAGGTTCTCGTCTTGGTGACACCTGCTAGACGCCATCTCTTTTTAGACAAGAAGAAATGGTGGTTTAATCAGTGGTCTTGAAGCACTCTGGAAGCTTAGGTGATGGATTGATATCTCCATAGCAGGTGGCTGTTACTCCAAAAGGCTGCAAGCCCATATCTGATGGGCTCTCAGTGACTGCTGAAGAGCCAAGAAGGATCACCCAACACTTCCCCAGGTCTTCTGCCCCTTAAGCTACCTATGGAGGGGCTGGAATTGGAAGACACTTCTCTAAATTCCATCAAGATGACCCATAGAAGTTATTACTAAGTCAACTATTATGGGTTGGTAGACTAAAGGAGGTTGACAAAAAAAGCATGGAATGTAAGCTCTAGACCCTTCTTGCCCATTAGTTGGCGGCGCCAAACCCTCAGCAGTCCAACAACAGTCTGTGG